AATAACATCATGGTGGATGATTTAACTCTTTTTCCCATACGTTTTAAGATTATCATTTATTGGAACTCTTTAATTAGTCGGGCTAGCCATAGGCTAGGCCGACTTTAGTTTTACCTTTTTGCCAATCTATCTGTGTGTCATGTCGCGTTTGGAACACCGGAAGTTCAATCSYCAACCTTCCTGTCATGCGATATTCTTTCTAACCGGAAATCAGACAACTCTAACTGGGATCCCTGTGTCATTGCGTCACACATGACGTCATGACATTTATTAATTTAACATACGTCATATGAGTTTATCTCCGAGTCTGCGACATATCATCGTATACTACTAGTTTTTGCTTGACTTATATACTAATAAATTTGCTTGTTAAGAACCATGTGGGACGACGTGTGCTTTATGTAACTGAATAAAACATAAGCGCATGCTCAGAGTACTAAATCTCCAATCCAATCACACATTTTTGCAGCTACCAGGGCATAGATAGCCCTGTCAAATATACCATAATAATCAGCCAATCACGTGCATACCTACAAAGTAACCTGGCAGCTAAAATTACCCATAATTTCCTGGTTGGATAGCACAGGAATACCAAGATCACATGGTCAATCATATTATCCATAATGCTTTACTTTACTTGTCTTATGGTGCTGTGCTTGTGCTATAGTACGTTTGCTCGACVTTTCTTCCTTCTTCCTTGGAGAGCTATTGCAATTACATGTAAGATGTCAAAAAAGTACATGCTGAGACGCTCAAAGGAAGCTCAACCATCTTACAAACGCAGACGCCGTTCGCGGTAGACTCACACTAAAAGATGTCAATGAGCGTCAGTTTCGAAACGAGTCGTTCCGCGGACCCAAAGAATTCTTCGACAAGACGAAGGATCAGACCTCTACAATCAGCTCTAGACTCACAGTGATAAGTTTATTTATTCTAATAGCTATATTTTACGTATCAATAAATAGTTTTGTCAATTATATTTCTCCATTTACTGTGTTATTCATCGCAGTCTTGCTTTGTAAAATATGCTTCTTGACCTGAGAGGTCATTTTTTAATTAAAAACGTGAAACTTTACACCAAGATATCTGATAATCAAATGCAATGCGCCATTTCGTCTACGGTTGCATTAGTAATGATAGTATAAGAGTTTTAAGAGCATTTAAAGCATTTATTTTGAATTTATTTGAAAGAGTTGCCTTTGGAGATTCCCCTAAATAGTATAAGCTTGTCTATGTACAAAAAACGGGATAAGTATAGGTTAATAGGATTCTTTACTTTAAACATTGCATCAAAAATTGTTAAATTATAAATTGTTGTTTATATGACCTTTTTAAAACACACGAAATTTGCATATTTTGAATGAGCTACACGCTTTTACAGCGTGAWGTTGGGATAGCTATTWTTGAAAATTGAGAAAGACAGAATATCACTCCTGGATCGATATTCCTAGTGTTTTGATGTCGTTGCGBCAAGCCACCAGAAAAGAATATCGCGGTGCGTGAATAAACAAACTAGATAAGGTATTCTACGCCATAATTTACTTTTATATATAATTATATGACTGTCAGAATATTACATGTTTTTTAGATACGAATTTTATCTCATCGTGTTGAACTCTTTCGCTCTTCACGTATTCGAAAATCCGAAGTAATTTCTCAATTTTCCAAAATAGCTAGCCCGACTTCACGCTCAAAGAGCGTCTAGTTTGAATTGAAAATGATTTTAAGGATTTTGGATTGTTCTCTAAACGCCTTAATTACTAATTTTGGTTTATTATTTTTCATTTTGATCAGGGGACCTTTGCTTTTTACCGCGTAAAGTTGGCCATTGTCGTGCTCTGATTCCAAGATGGTATTACGACACTTCTAAAGGCTCTTGCACAAAATTCTACTACGGTGGATGTTACGGCAATGCAAATAACTTCATCTCCAAGTCAGATTGTCTAGAACATTGCCAAGGTATTTCATATACGATCAGTGCTCTCCAAAGAGAACCGAACTTCTTCAGTCCAAGTCGTGAAATTTTAAAAACTCTAACAGAAATGTAACTAGATTCGATGCCTCATCTTCGCAGAATGCATGTCTCGGAGAAATCGTCAAATCTTTTCTAATTTTTTTTGGACATAATTCGAGTCATTGCTGTGATTAACACATTTTTCTTTGACTTTGTTTCCTTTTTTTCTTCTTGTTTTAATTCAAATTTTACTGTTATTTTTTTCCAGGTTTTTCCTGCAAAACTCGTTATGAAGCAATCGGGTGTTACATTCATAACCAGTCCCCACAGCTTGGCTACGTTCTTCTAAACGAGCGAGACATAGACAGTCAGGTTTTTGGTGGGACGCTCGTTGATTGGCTAAAATGGTCACAATATATACCCAGTATGCTTTGCAGATGTGCTGAGAAAGCTGCGGAAAACGYTTTTAAAAAGTTTGCCATTTACAATATAGGTACTGTTTGGAATATTACATGGCTGYCATCCATTTTGCTTTACAAAGCCCTACTACAAATAAGTTAAAAGGGTCATTGGTTTATGATGCTACATTTATAGCGAGAACAACGACGAGGATTGTTGTTATTATCGCTTCAATGGGATTTTTATATCATAAATTTCATGCAATATTGAAATAGAGATTGGTTGGAGATTGAATTGAGACAATCAACGATGTGACTGTTTAATTGTGGGGGAGYGGYGCGYGGGGGTTATCGTATATTATATCCCARAATGAAGTTGCATGTTCAAACTCATTTCCAGGCGCGTATTTTCCTTTATTTGAGTATAATGACCTGGGAATGTTATTGGGTGCATATCGCTATCCGAGATTAAAATTTCACATGGGGTAATGACTTACTAAATCTTTGCCTTTTATTATTTCATAGCCGAATGCTGGGGCACAAWTGACTTCAATGAAGGACATTTCAACAAGTCAACAGTTTGTTTGGATCGTTTCTATGGTCACCAATGCCAAACAGCCACTGACATGTGTGTAGGAGGACCACAGGCTCATTACTTTTACAGCATAAAGGGTCGACCACTACGGTCAGAATGAAGCTTGTGATTGGTCGAGACAACAAAAACAAAGAATTGTAGGATTATGCCGGACAATGCCTATTGTTCTACTGGATTATGTCAGACAATGCCTATTGTTCTTCGTTTTTTGTATAYCCTGTCTTTGTTATTTCATCAAATCACCATCTTTGTTCTAACAGTGGTGCATAACCCAGCATAAAAAACAAACATTTAGTGACAGTCAGATCACAAGAGGTTGTGGGTGCTTATCAATAATACAATGTTTGAGTTCGTAGTATTTATTGCTTTCAATGTGATYACTGATGTCACTTTTATGATGACACCTTCTTTTTAAAGAAATTTTCCTCAACAATTTGTAGTGACGATACAGGACCTTCTCTTTTGAGATATGCCTAGAAAAAAAAGAGAAACAAAAATCCCATCATTCATCCGTTTAATCATTTGTCCATCCATTCACATATGTTATTTTCACTCCACTTACTTTAAGTATTTGCATGCCAGTCAAGTTTTGCGGTGATTTGGATTCCATTGCTGTGATGTGATCTGGATATACTAGGTGGTGCAGAGTAACAACATTAATTGCCTCATCAAACCTGTAACAAATGAAGTGGTATTACAGTGCCGGTTGCGAGTAAAGTACCATTACCTACTAAGCTTAGAATAAAAAAAGAGTACTAAATGATACTACTTAAAAAATCCTAACATGTAGAACATAAATAGCACAATAAYTGTGACATTGGAGTGAAAATAGAAAGTTTATAATAATATTTATAAGTAGTTTGGTGAATCAACCATGAATAATTTTAACAATTTATTCCAAGCTTTCAACCTAAGTGGTCATCTTCAGGGAACACAAAGACAAATACAACCAACAAAGATCTTTTAAACTTTATAATAATAGTTAAAAAAGTATGATTATTCTTTTGTTTCCTGGCTGTTTAGTGGCACCATTTTCCAGGAAACTTATTACTGCTGAGTAGACAAAAACAACAACTGCAACGGCACAATTTAGCAAGTACTTTTTACTGATTCATGGAATAATTGCATCTCCAGATAATAAAGCAGAATTGACTAACATTTCTCTACTTGTGAAGTAATCCAATAAGTTGTCTAGCTTTCTGTGTTTCATAAGGTAGTAAACTAAGCCTCCAAAGTGCCGAGTGGACCACAAAATACCATGTTTATTATTCTGATCAATGTCTTCATAAACTGTTTGATGAACCTGCAAATATTAGTCATAAATCTTTTAAAATCAAGATTCTTCTGTTCAATTTTTTGCTCCACCTTGAACAGTAATTTCTCTGGTATTCTTGATTTGATGAATGGTACAACTTATGTTTAACAATTTTAGCACAACTAAGAAAACCAGATGCACCGACAGGAATAGTGTTGCCATAAAAAAATACTTTATATACAGTATGATATTACTAAAAAAATCAGTCAATCAATCAATCATTTAACCAATTGAATCAATCAATCAAMCAGTCAAGCAATCAATCAATCAGGRTTGGCAATATACTGACCCTAATATAGTCACTTGTATCTGGTGCGCACTGCACACATATCAAGTCTAAGATATCTTCATGTCTGTTTTGTGAAAGAGGAACCTACAAAGAGACCAGTCTTAAGTATTTAACATATTAGTACAACATCTTGTCAGGACGTTTTTTTACCTCAATCCCTGATTCCGTCAACATTTCAGGCATCTCCCATTGCTGCCCATCTTTAGGAAAGTATATAAAGTTGGCAAGATCTCTTTCTTCCCAGGTCGCYGATCTTAATCGGCCACTAGTGTCACGAACAACTATCCTTCGATTCTATATGTACACAAAAAAATAATAGAGATAATAGATAATAATAACCATTGTACAATATTGACCAGTCCTTTTTGTATGTGCAAACACTTTTGCAAGGACAAGATGCCAGTGTAAAATAGTTGGATATGTTTGAATGCTGGGGGGGAGGGGGGGGGAGTTGGTTGTTTACCACCAGCTATTGGAATACCTGCCCCCCCCCCCTGAATACAATGTGCACCAGGAACAGACAACTAGTATACCTTGTTATTAGCGCTTGGACTGATATCTGTAAACATGTAATCTGCTGTATCATATCCTGCCAGTCGCTTATCAATGTCAAGYATTTCCTGGATTTCCTTTCTTTCGTCCATTACTGATGGCATCTCTAGAATACTTTCTGCTCTGGCCTTGGTGAGGTTTTCTTCCTGGAAAAATAGGGAAGTAGAAGTTGAAGCAGTTTATATGCATGRCCTCGCCTCTCCCTGCAGGGAAAATTGGGAATTAAGGGGGGAGGAGTGGGGAAACAGATGTACACCTCCTAAAAAATGAAATAATTTAGCTGGAAAGACTTGAATTCTATACTTATTGCCACGTTTTGTTTTGATTACAACAAACCTCAAGTAGTTCTTCGTCAGTCATCAGCTTGTATGAAGGAACTTCAACCCCATGTCGTAGTTGACGATTTGAGAAAACTTTCTCCACATTACATCCAGTTAGTCTCTTTAAAATCGATTTAACACGTTCATCATCAAATGGAAGAATCTTKTTGCCCGATAGATTAATTTGACAAGTTGCTATCGCCCGAATTTGTATCGAATTTAACGAGAAAAGTCGCGCAACTCTTGCTGTCACGCTGGCCGCCATTTTGTTTTACTAGTTACCACTCTTCCTCTGTTTTCAGAGTCCAGTTGCAACCGCAGGCTCAAGRTGCAGGGAGTTCGGCGGGAGGAGCGAATTTCAAAAAGAAAGATTATTTTCTCTGAATGAATGAGGGCTCCTTTTATTATAAAATGCCTAGTAACCCATATGGAAAGCTTCCAGTAATTGGAATATGGGCTTTGTTTGGTTCCAGCTTTTATTTTTTCCTCGCTTATCAGTCGTTWGGAGAACGAGGCACAAGAAACAGGGTGAGTATTTCATAAGCATGCTGGATGTTAGTAAAATCATCGAGTCATCTGTTTTTCTTGYATATTTCTTCACTTATAAAGACATAGACATAATTTAAAATATCCTAAAGCTCAAACAGTTGCATATTTGTTGAAAATAATGATAAGTTTATTTGTCAAATACAGAAATGGTTGAGCGAAGTGCTACAAATTGCTCCACCGTCCAAASAACCCTCCACAGATGAACTTAAATACAAAGCTTTGCTAGAGGAAACAACATATGAGCCAAAAKAAGATGACTAAGTCTYAKAAAGCTTTACTTCAATAAAAGGTATGGTGATAAAGTGAGAAACTGTTTTGGTAGGTTTGGGTACCCTGTGTTACACAGGTAATCCAAATGTTAGGTAGATATAGTAGATGATAYTTATAGTTGTAGATTCGTATGATGTTCATCTATTTTTATCACTATTATATTATTATTATTGTTGTTATTGTTGAATACAGTTAAAAGCAGTAATGAAAAAATAAGATACGTGGAAGTGTAATCCAAAACAGTTTATTATAGACTTCAACCTATTACAGAATCTCCATATATCACTTTCCTGTTTTCTCATWTTTCTGAGTAAACATTTGCCCATCTTCTTTTTAAATGTTTCCTTCCAAGTCTAATTGTTTTATTAGCAAAATACCTTGATTTGATGATAACTAGAGCATTATACTAAACACAAAGCTAAAACTATATATTACTGCTATCTCTTTCTACCAACACAGTGACTTATAGATACATAAAGCGCTAACAAAACAAGTAACGAAATAAATTAGGATTCGATTTTGTTTCATTGCTATAATTATGATGCCAAGTGTTGGTATAAGACCCATTTCTAATATTTAAGCTTTTATATATTATTGGAATTGTACAATTATAATATTGTACTGTTGCTATCTGTACATATGAGTACAATTACATATCTGCGAAATAATATATTGTTTATTAATAAGTGGTCAGTCTTTAAAGATCATTATATGTTAATACTTATTTATAAAGTTTTGTCTCGCATCTCTCATTCTTACTACAKATTGAATTGGTCAATCCAAAACTATTGTAACAACTATGATCAAAAACTGGATTCTCTATATTTTTTCRCTGATATATAAGGAGAATTTTAAGTCTGATRGTGTTTCCTGTAATAATGAGTTGYATTGAAAACTYCATGTACAGGTAGACATCCAAAAARTGATGAATCTTGAAAGAAATAAAAGTAGTACCCTTGGCACCCTTGAGGATGAAAGCATTGATTCATAAAACCATTAAAAAACAACAGAATTGTACTCAAAACACAYRGCCKCAGTTATTTCTTTCAAAAATATCATAACKTAATTGAAAAATCTATTTGAGAGACCAAAACGTCAATTTCAACTCAAAATACTGCTGKYAACACAGCTACTGGCTGGATCTTGTCAGAGAATGATTCTAAAACATGCTGGTGTAGATACAGACTATTATATGGCCATATTTCATATGGCTATGTGTCGACACTATCACCTTGAACTGTCTTTGAAATTATACAAACCTATAATTAAGGGAAAAGCAAGCCACTTGTAATTTCCAAATTTCCAACAAAAGATGTCATTGATTGTCTCTTTAGRGGCACAGTTGTCATGACAACATTGTGAGGTCATKAWTGTCCTCTATTTTTCACAAAAAAATAATTCGTACTAAATAATACCTAAAAATATCTAGTATCCCTTTGACAGGCGTCGTTTTAGCTTTCTAATCTTGTTTCTCATTGGTTCGTCTATATTATGACGTCGTTTCCTGGCTATGTGGCCTATTACTTCCATCTCGCTTTCGTCCAGTCCTGGGGGCGACCGGAAGTAAGTTTTCTCGTGTGTTTTTGATAAGTGGATCTTTGGTATTGAGCTTTTGGTTGAYSCCTTTTTAGGAATTGCATGTCGGAAAACTGGTGCTGAAATGAAAAGAGAAATCCATTAATATTTAGGTTTGCCGAAAGGCGCAAAAGAGAAAGAGAAATATACTAAGAAGTTACGTGAAATCACGAAAAGCTGTAAAATCCGAAATTTRATAAAATCATCAAAACTATGCAAAATAGTTCGTAGAAAATGCGAAATAATCCAGTTTCGAATTCTCCAATGCTCTGTGTTAGCCTCATTTGTACGCAAAATATTCCTAATTGTGAGAATAAAAGTGTGAGATTTCAAATGAATTCAATTGTTTTTCTTTTCAAATTCCATGCGTTTTCTCGGGCTATCAATGAAACAAAAGAATATGTTGCTTGGTTCTGAGGCTAACACAGAGCAAACCAGAACTCGAAATCGGAGTATTGTTCAAAATTACTTTATGTAAAATACAAAAAAAACAACAATATCAATGCTGACATGAAAACGCATCTAACCTTGGTTTAATGCACCCAAACACCTTTGCGGCTCGACATGTAGTCTAGCATTCTTAGGCTGACATCCTCCACACGATCCTCCGCATTCTCCATAGGCCAGAGTTCCTCCAGGAGACTTGCGATAGTTCAGCATTCTTTGTGGGATCTTTGGGCTGCCCCATGGTTCCCACTCCGCGTCGTTATGTAGACGTAAACCGGTTCCAGTCAAGTCAATCTGGAATCTTCCGCGGTGGCATCTCTTTGAGGCTGAGTAACAGTCCCCTGCTCGACCATAGCGCACAGGGTTRCCAAGTGTATCAGCGAATGTAAAGTCYTCYCGTTGGAGTAATCCGTTTTCAGGATTGACGCGAACCTTGTAGAATCTAGAGAGTACAAATGAAAAGGTTTTTAGTTWWCATTTGAGWATGTCGATACATTTCRCTAGGTTTTGTTTGAGYGTATTTCATATCAATTGAGCGTRTGACTATGAGAAGGATTGATTATTGCATGTTGMTTGTCCGTGTGGTTGGCTTGTTCTTTASCAGATTATTTGAACTGTTTCCTTTATTTGGTTGTTTGTTGGTAGTCATTGAGTTTTTAWTTAGTTGTTCAGCCCTATTTTATCCCATAAAATCTCTCACCTCGATATTCCCCAGTACTTCTCGGTCAGCTTAGGATAAGGGTTAGCCTTCCCTCCACATGTTTCATAATTGAGAAGTCTTGAACGTTCAAATCGTGCATAGTTCTTGTCAGGTCCAGCATGTAGTGTGATGTATTCCTTAGGTGCTTTTGTCCTCATTCCATGGCAATACAAACGAACTGGTTCACATGTTGGCGAGAGTTGAATAGCATATTCATCGTCATGGTATCCTGACCAGGTCTTCTGGATTTCAGCACAACTCCCTAAGAGAATAGKGAGGGTTGTTCAATGTGGGATGCAGAAATTGTTCTACATGCTAGTATAATCTTTYCYCATGCGTWWATTACGTTCTAATAATCCATACTAAACACCTCTTTYCTTCATAATTTGATGCACTAAGCCATATGAAAWT